ATAAATATATACACATACATATGTAGATAAAACAAGAGAGAACGCTACAGTCGAGCAAGCCCGACAGTGTAATACCCTGTACCCAGGTAAACTTCCGTCACTGAGTTATATGCGCCCATAGCAGCAGCAAAAAGAGGAAGAAGAAGAGCGAACTTGTTTCTGCAGTTTTGGGGGGTTGTACTGGCGAGAATTTGTCTCGCTAATAACTTTTCTTAGAATTGACCGAATTGAATACAATTTTAAACAACAGTAGATAATTATATATAAATTATGTGTGCAAGGTTTGGTTGAGGTAGCATTTGAAATGTGGACGCTATTGAACTTCTGTAGCGGGGGAAGGGGGGAAAAATTAAAAAAAAAAATAAACTCGTCCCTTCTCGGGCCTAGGAGAATCTGGATGCCAACTTTGGTTATTCTAGCTTTTATAGTTTCTGAGATCCTTGCGTTCATCCAGACGGACGGACATGTCTAGATCGATTTCTCTCGTCATGCTGATTCAGAATATATATACTTTATGGGGCCGGAGATGCACATATTCAAAGCAATTGCGTCTATGTGAGTGTATGTATGTTTATACTCGTATATTCGTGTCTGTGTAAGCATGTTCGCAGCGCTGGAGCAACAAATATATTTATGGCTATAACTTCTTGTTAAATCGGTCTATCATTATGAAACTTGGCATACGGACACATAATTACTAACTGGGGGTATTTGCAAAATTATAGTTCGAAATTCCAAGTACTAGCTAGAGAAAATTGCGATTTGCATGGGAGAGGGGGAAGGGAGGGAAATTCCAAAATACACATTTTCTGCTATAGGCGATTATAGGAATGGAAAATCGGGAAAATCCTCATAGGGGGGAAGTGGGGGGGAAATCAAAAAAATAAAACAAACTTGCACAGCGTACACACATAACGCATCTTTGTGCAAAGTTTGGTGTCTCTACCTCTTATAGTCTCTGAGATCCAGGTGTTCATACGGACAGACGGACAGACAGACAGACAGGGCTAGATCGACTAGTCTCGTCATGCTGATCAAGAATATATATACTTTGTGGGGTCTGCCACGCCTCCTTCGGCCTGTTACATTTTCAGCATTTTATGTACAGAGTATAATTAAAGGTAATTCAATGACATTTTAAAAAGTATAAATATGTTTGTGCATTAGTAGTGGTTAGGGCTCGTATAGGTATTTATTTATTGTATTACCGTACTATTCATATTCCCACAGTGTGGTCATTATCAGAAAACGCTCTAAAGGAACTGCCCAGTAGAAATTCCTTTGAGCGAAATAAGTAAATAGGACACTAAATTTAAAAGTATAACAACTAAACCGATCAATATATTTAAACTAGTATACCCTTTCACCCTTTGGGTACAGGGTATAAAAAAACTTTATTGCTTAAACTTAATAAAATAATCAATAGATTTCAAGCTAAATAAAGTAACTTTGGAAAATATAATCTTTGTTTATCGCTCAAGCTACCAACGAAATATGGGAGGAAGGCAAGAAATTTCTAAAAATAAAGATGTATTTTTTATATTAACATATAGTACAGTTTTACTGACAATCATCATGATGTGCCTGATACATAGCGACGTGCGGTCACTGATTTGCCTCATGGTTCAAAAGAGATGTTTTAAAAAATAATTCTTTTACATATTCCCACCCAGCAAAGTTTTGAGCTTTTTTAAGAATTGGTATCTCGTTATTACTTTCCCGCATTTTTGTTCAACTGACCTAATTACACACTTGCTTTCGCTTGTTCAGTGGTGTGGACTCCTGTACAAACCCCAATGATGAACTTAAGTCATTTATCAGAGAATCATTGAGCCACCACATAAGCAAAAGAAAAGCACACAGCAAAAGGCAGCCACAAGAGCTATAAATAATACACAGAGATGGAAAAGATACTACATACATATAGTAAGAACATGTATCTGATACTCGTACACACTTGTTTGGTGTGCCGCAAGCTTAGTGCACTGTTTTCGGTTTTCACATTTCCATTTTTATTTCCATTTCATTATTCAGTTCTTGCTGCATAACTCGCAAATAAATCACAGCAACTGTTAAATTTGAATAAACATTTGAATTGATCACGAATATTGTTTTGTTTATAGTGGATTTTGCTGATTTCATCTGATTACGAGTTTTTCAAATACAATTCCTTATGAACATTTTTCAGTTACCATGCTCTGACCTCTGGGATGTTGTTAAAAATTGCTTGTCATTCGCCTCACGCCCGCAACCGCAAATTTCCTGCTCATTGTTGTTGCTTTTTTGTTGGTGTTACCGTCGGCATGTGGTACACAATTTATTAGGTAGCAGCGAAAATTGCTTGTCGTTATGCCCTCAAATTAAATTTGGCTTTGAATTATGTCGGTAATAAATGTGCTGCCGTCAAGTGGTAGTGGCTGCTTCTATGGCTTTGACAAGTGGCTGCCGGCTTCAGTTCAAAGGCAATCCAAGCAATTAGACACATTGAGATGTCAAACATTTTTTCAAACACAAGACCCATCTTTGCTTAAATCGGAACTATCGTAAATTTGGCCGTATTGGCTTGTCGTATTTATGTGCGGTAGGTTAAAGCCTCAGCCAATCGATCATTCATGCAATCGACCCCCAGTTCAGTCCCTTTGCGTTGCTTGCTACTTGGGCACCATACAAAATTTATCGAGAAAATTCAATTGGAATTCTCATAAATTTTTCAACTGCCATACATTAAGTGTTGGCATGGATGTGTATTTATTCTGCTATAAACATTGACGGCTGAGTTCAAGGGTTCGCTTGCAGAGCTACCAGAAAATCTAAACGACACCATTTGGTGTCTACATTGCTTATTTTACATCCATATTGTCTATGCATTTTCGGGCTGTAATTTCTATTCATTTATTTTGGAATGTTCATTTCGGAATAAAAGCTAGTACAATTGGATCACATATAATGAAAAATAACTTTAAAGTTAACTTTTTCTGTCCGAAGCCGAACCTGATTGGTGCATCAGTATGACAAGACGAGGCATTATAGAAATGTGCGTCTCCTCGTCCCTCTATCTATTCGTCTGTCTAAACCAAGGATCTTAGCAAGTATAAGAGTACAAGTATGCATCTCCCCCATTCCCTGTTTTTAGTGATTACCCATAGCTCCCGTAACTCTTGTAATCCCTGCCCACACTCTGCCAGGAGCTGTTGTTGTTGCTGCTAAAATGAAATACTTCACACATAGCACACAAAACCGATGTAAATATAGTGTTATAGCTATAAAATTATGTATATTATTATAAAATGATTCTACACAGCCCGTACGTAGAGTATTTCAAAGTTGGCGCTCCCGACTTACTTGATCCACTTGTTTGCGAATGTTAATTTAGATTTATTTCGCATACTATGTGTGCATTAAATTACAGTTTTGTATGTTCAGTCCACTGACCGATCCTTAGAGTCAAACTATCTCTGGTTTCATAGTTGGACAAATTGCTTAAATGGCATGACCATTATGTTATAGAAACACCAGCCTTTGCTTTAATTAGCCTAACACTCCGGGCTGCATGATTATGGGAATTGGAATCAAAACAGTTCTTTAGCACACGAGGTGTCCTGCTAAAAAATTGAATAAACAATCAAAGGTGGATGGTACACAGACCCATCATTCGCGAAATTCTCGACGCATGGCAGTAAAATTAAATATTTACACAGCATTTGGGAGAGCGAAGCTAAAAATGCGAAACATGCAACAATCACATGAAATCAATTAACATTTTTGCCAACTGCCCGCAGACCATAAGACAATGAGATGGAGAAGAGCAATAGCTCGATATAATAACAATAAAAACTAATTGTAAGTGTGTGGCGATGTACACGTGTTCGAGTATCAATGCTATTGAAATAAAATTGTGTATACGCCACGTGACGAGAAGATGAGCAGAAAACTGTTGCCCTATCAAAAAAATTCATTCATTCAATTTACAATGAAGTACGAAGCTGATGATGGCAGCGACGTCACCGGCGAAGTCGACTTTGGCCTTCGCGGGGCTTTAGTTTCGAGCGTTTATTTGTTTTCAAGCAAACAAACATAGAGACGCAGAGTTCCAGCGAATTTGGAGCAATGAGTCGGATTGGGGGTGGGCAGTGGAAGTCTATCAGCTGGGACTAGCCGTTACGCCGGAAAGTCGAACTGAAAATTAATTAAAAATAGTCAAAGCAGACGGGACCACGGCGTGCTTTTTGGCAGCCTACTGTGTACATTTTTCACATTTTCATGAATTTCAATTCCATTCAACGCCCAAATGCAAATCTGTGTGAAGTGCGTAAGCTTCCCGTTGGCTTTTAGGGGCATTTCAAATATTTGCCAAATAATTAATCACGCCATATCGTGGCAGGCGTGCCGACGCGTCTGCTCAACCTCTGTGTCAGCAGGACTATGGTTGCGTGCCTCCAGATAAAAAGTAAATATGACGTCCAAGGCTTTATTGCTGGACCAGGCACAGTTCAGGCACTTTGGCATGCAGATTATGATGAATCTTTGAATAAAACTGACACCCGCACTTGTCTACATACGCCCTTGAGTTGACTGATGGCTTGATCTTTCACAAGTTATTGCGCACATTTCGTGGCCGATGGTAATTAGGTGGAGTGCCAGCAACTACCACCAATAACGCTGTAGGAGCAACAACAAAAAAATCAACGGAAATATATATTGCATTTTTAAGTATCTTTAAAAATACACACTAATATTATTTTTTGTATTTATGTAAGTATAAAGGGACTGCAAATGGCTCTAGTCATAAGATGTTAAATTTTAAAGCAATATACTTATCTATGTATGCTAATATGTAGTATAACAATTGCAATACCGGAAATCGAATTGCATCGAAATGGATCTTAAAAAAAACGTACGCGTCCCTTGTACCTTTTAGTTACGGGGTATAATAAGTAAAATACTCTTTCATTTTCATACAACTTCAAACCCCAAACATTGCACAATGACTCACAAAAATCTTTGTTTGTATAATCGGGCTACTTAATGTATTAGCGATGACATTTTTTGCTTAAATTGATTAAACTCACAAAAGTTTATTTTTCACGAAAAATGAATTTATCGTCCACTAGAAAATAGCCTATTTTTTGTGCCCAATGGACTATTCCTCGCACATATCAGGGAAGCATTCGCAATCGCAAGGTTCTTCGCACGTGCAGGCGGGCATGTAGAGAAACTCGCTGTCCTTCCAGAAGTCCACCATCGATTTGCAAGAATTTTTCTTGTAAAATTGTTTGACAGCATCCCTGGACTTAAGACATTCACAGAAATACCCGCCCTTCATGATGTTCTCCATGCCTACGCAGCAAACCTCTCGCACGATCGTATCGATGATATTGGAGCACGTGCGCCCGCCTTTAAAAGGTACTGCCCTCATTCTGAGACGCTGCGTTTGCCGCACATCAACATCCAGTATTATCGTCGTGGTCTGGTCAGGGCTGTAGATTCGCTTGGCCAAACGACCCTCCACATAGATATCGTAATGTCTCACATTTTCGGGGTCATGCACATACCAGTCCACAATCAGTGAGTTGGAATCTAGCCGCTCCACATTGCTTATACTCACGGGGTAGCTGACGCGAGGCGAGGGGTGCAGCTCCTTGGTGCCATGAAGGCGATTGAGTATGTAATTGCGCACATGCGCCATTGCACAGATGTCCATGAAGAGATTCTTGGCACACATTTTCATCTCGAGGCGGCGCTTTCCCTCGGGCGTCCGCAAAAAGGCAACACGCTTGTGAGCGTGTCGCATCTCCACACAATGACAGCAAGAGCATGTTTTGTCGTAGCGCTGGCATCCATCGCTATCATCGGGTAAGCTGAAAGAGGTCTCCTCCGGACAAGCGGAATCGGAAGAAGGCACTAAAGCGCTACTTGCGAGCTTGCTTGACTCGTCCTTAGCAGAAACATCCTCTCTGGACCCTCTGTTGGTAGTTTCTTTTGCAATGGTACTTGTGGAACCTCTGGGTGAACCGTCTTTAATGGAACTGCCTTTAAGAGAGCTCCTAAGGGGACTTTTAATGGAACTGCCGTTTGCGGAGTTTCTAGCCGAGGATCCTTCAGCGCTTACCAGCGCAAATTTTACCTCCTCGCCAGGTAAAATAATGCTGACACGTTTGGACATGACTGAATTTAGGTAAATTTACAACTTAGATTTGGAAACAACTGAACATTTTCTATAGCATTTAAAGTTGCTCAGTTTTTTATGAGCTTAACGATGATAAACTAAACAAAGCTACTCTAAAAAAAAAAAAACGCCGAAATGACAAACGAACACATTTATTCAATAAAATATACATTTATTGCCTATTTTGCTGGGTTCCTATTCCGTGGTAACGCTTTGCCTTAAAATTAATGATTCCTATACAATAAAGCATTATTATATACTAATTATTATTTAGTATTACTGACCGATAAATTTGAAAAAGAGAATTTAGTTTTAGCACTAAAGAGAATCAGGCAGTGATTTTGAATTCCATTTCAGCCGCTGGATGTGGACGATTATATCTGGGATATGACTGGATATTTTTAGCTGACTTTAACAATCCGTACCTGGAAGATATAACTATATATAACTATATTATGTTTGTCCAAAGTCAAAAATGTAATAAATATTCTTGATCAGCATGTCAAGACGCGTCAGCTTAGCCTTATCTGTCTGTTGGCCATCTGCCTGTCCCACTGTCTGCTTGTCCATCCGTGTGTATGAGCACCTAGATCTCAGAGACTAAAGGAGCTAGGGACACAAATTCTTCCATACAAGAATGTGTAAGTTTATTTTAGTACATATATAGATCTCAGAAAATATAGGAGCAAATTACATCAAGTTTTTGGGCCCAAATACGAATACGATTTTCCCCGCTATTAGTGATTAGGTTAGCTTGGTGGACCAGACTTTACATATAATGACAAATACACACGTCGAAGAAATCAGGAAGATATAGTGACTCAAGAAATAAAATTAAATGCTGAGACCTATGCTTTAGCCTTGTAAAATCCAAACAAAGCGGAGGCCAAAAAAAGAGTAGTAATAAAGACAAGTAACAATAAATGTGACCGTCACAATGTCTCATCATGATAGGTTACTTCTAAAGGGAATATAGTCTTAAATGTAATCTCTGCCCAGCTTGCCAGCAGATGCTGTTGTTGTTGCTGCTCTGACTCACCTCTGTACTGCTCACATCCTCACACAGGCACACACAGACTCGCATAGACACATAAAAGGCACAATTGCGATGTAAATGTGCAGGCTTTTCATGAGTTCGAAATTTATACGTATTATTATTCTACACATACAAGTATGTAGGTATTTCTACACATATAGAGTTTTTCGAAGTTGCACCCGGCACTTGACTTCGGCTTCTCCACTTGTTTTCCTTGTGTTTGGATCATTGCTTGAATGAACCCGAACTCAGCTTATTTCAAATGAAGTATATACGGAAGGCTTTCTTTATGTACAAGTAGTTGCCATCTCCTACTTACTCGATGAGCCAGTACTGCTTTGCTTTATGAGTGGGGCATCCAATGCTGCCTACATATTTCCTGACGCCTCCAACCATTCCAATAATTTGAAGCCGTTCGACCCATTCTCAATCATTACAAATCACAAGCTTAGGCCAATGCTTTATGAGTCGACAACTTGGCAAAAACGTGACTGTCTCTATTGATTCATCTTTTGGGGAGTGTGCGTCCCGCCAGGGGTGGCAAATGATTGTAACTTTGTCAATATTTATGTTACATGTTGCCAAGCCCGAGCGGCTAATTTGCATATTGCTTCGACTGTGCTGTAGACAAGTTACTAAGTGCATGCAAAATGAGCAGGGAATGTTCTTTACAGCGCGAATATATTTTAGGCTTAATTAAAATCGCCTGCTTGCTTCCTTGGAACATGCATAATGAGCGGCCATTAGCTGGACCCTGACGTGGTATTTTTTCGAGTACAGTCATGTCGAAGGTAATAATGTTGAATGGAAACTTTAATGTTCGGCGTGCCGTGATTCCTGCCACGACTCCTGCTGCTTTATTATTATTCAGCTTCGTTGAGCATACATGGCGTATGATTAACGTGTCTGTCGTGCGTTACTTATACGCCGAAGTGTTCAGGGAAAGCAAAGATAGAACATAAACCGGGCACGCAAGTGTATTAAATTATTTTTGTTCTGTGATTTATCTTACTAGAGCTGCGCCTACGTTTGTGCTACATGTTTTAACCGTGCTACACACTTTGCAAATCAGTGGGGGGCTTGAAAGTTAACTTGGCATTTGAATAGACTTGCAACTTGTTATATCTGTGAACAGCAGGCGGCAGTTCTCACAGCAGCGGGGCTTAAATCATAAAAATTCAAAAGCAGAGGTATTTTTCTAACCGTATTGCCTTAGTTGTGCCTTATGCTGGAATTGCGCTTTTAACGGAAACAGGTACGTGAGAAACGCGACACTTCCAATGTGTTTTTAATTGGTTTCATCTAGGCTTAACAAATTATTTAAAAAAGAGTTTTTGCACGAAACAAGCCCTTCCGATTTAGGAAAGAACGTTTTGGTGTTGGGAGAACAACCTGCAAATTAAATGTTGTTCACGCTAAATGTTGGCCCAAAGAAAACAAAGATAAACATAGCTTTAAAAACAAGTAGCCCAATTAAAAAACTTTATTTTAACTCGTGCATATTAGTTATCCTATATGTTCTGTATAGCTGGACATCTGTCCCTGTTTTTCTATTCAGTAGTAACTTTAATCCAGAAAGAGGGTCCACGGAATATACGCATCATTTAGGGAAAAAGTGAACGCAGCTTTTAAAAATTGTTAAAATATGCAATTAAACGTAATTGATTGAAGCATAAAAATGTTTTCCTCTCAATTAAAGGACCCGTTGCGTGCGGCCATTTTGAGCGGAGCCTATTGGGCGTTGGGCGGCACGCGTGGCGTTCATAACTTTAATAACTTTGCCCTAGAGTTTCTTTGTCTCTGAGCTATTTGCCCACGAGGCCTTCGGCCCAAGCAAAATTGCTTTATAATTGGAGCAGAAATTGTATCGTGCATCACAATAAAATACTGATTGCAAATTGTTTAACACAGACGCCCTTTTTGTACTTTTAAATACGAGTATGACTATGTATGGGTAGGTGGGTGTACCTTCAAAACGCGGAATTCATGTTGGCTCCTGCCACTATCAAAGCGCAGTATTCGGTATTAACTTTCAGCACTTGTGTCTCGCACTTTCGGATGCCTGCGAAGTTTTTTGACATGCCTCCAATCTCACTGTGGCCTGCGTTGCCCTAGGCAGGGTGTGTCTCCGTGTGCGCCCGGGTGCTTATGTATTTATGCGGGGCACAAAAACTAATTCAAAAGTTTGTGCAACCGAAAAATGAAAAAGTGCTGCTGTAAAAGGTCGACCTCGGTAAGGAGGCTTTGAGCAGTTTGTGGGATGTCAAGCCACAGCCGGCAGCGGCTAAAAATCAGTTGCAAATGCAAAAACATCTTCATACATCTTGTAAATTGTAATTTACAACAGATCCTTGCCGTCTTGCTTTGTGACAAGCTGCCCTATGTTCGAAAAGGTGACCGGAGCCTTTATGTAGGGAATAAAGCTTCACTTTAATATCTGCAATCAACAGCGTGCTTTAATTAATATGCAATGCGTCACATTTCGCACTTCCTGCTAAAACACGCGCAATTCTCTGAGCATATGTGCGCGCGTTTGTCTGTTTCGGCGCGCTTGTGCGAGAAAAACGCACTCGTGCGGGCCGAGCCACAGCCAACAGCTATTACCAACTACCCTACACATCACGCAGTGTCCTGCCATTAAAATAGAAACCCCTCGGGCATTTCAGTATGCTGAAGTCTTTACTGCGCTGACATTGCCAAAGGCTAATTGCTGATAGAGCTGTTGTTCTTGTTGCTTAGCCGCTACTGTCGCAGTAATCGAGGATGCGTCGCTTGTGTGGAAACTACTTGTATATAAAACATTTCATTATGCTCCTTTGAAGCAACGCTTTGCACTTACTCCTGCTTTTGTGTGATTCCGAGTCGGGTAGCAGACAAAAGGTTTTGCTTCTCAAACACGGATTTCTCCGGTCACAAAAATAGCTCTTCCATTGCATTCTAGACAATCTTTTCTTTTCTTTTTTTCTATATCAGATGGCCATTGTAATAGAATTACTAGAAATGCGTTAAGAGGCATGTGAATTTATTCCGACTCTTTTATGAAACACAATTATGATTTATAATTAATTTTATAATCTTTTGTACTACTATCAAAATGTTGCCTTTGTTTTCATACCCAATTCCCAATGGTTTATGTTTTTGTTCGATGAACCTTCCACTCCCCCGCAATTTGTAATTACACACAAGCGTCCGATTGTCAAGTTTCATCATGATATGCCAATTGTTACCAAAGTTATAGTCATGAACGAAGCTCTGCCCACAGGTTTTGCTGTTGTTGCTGATTGGATTTAACACTGTACTGCACAGATAAGCATGTATAGACACAGTCCTGATGCAAATATACGCCATTCAAACTGTATATGTATAAACATATGTTTTAGCTATTTAAAAAAATAAGAGAGAACTCTACAGTCGAGCAAGCCCGACAGCCTGTACCCTGTACTCTCCACAAAAAAAAATATTTAATTAATTAATTAAATTAAATATAAAATATTTAACACATGCATACATACATACATACATACATACATACATACATACTATAAGTGTTTATGTACAATTTCCTCAGAATAAATTTACATCAGAATCGTGTCTCTGCGTGTTTATATGCATGTATGTATGCGGCACAAAGTTGAACCGAACAACAACAACAGCTGCGGGCAGAGCTTCGGCAGAGATTATACTTATAGTTATAACTTCTTTCTTATTAATTTAATCTTTTTTCTTTTTTTTTTTAAGGGTGTATTGTTAAGAGTTGGGCCTGCATTCCACTCCGGTTCTTCTTTCAGAGGAAAGGGTGTTTCTATATTTGCACAGTTTTTTCTGACTTTTGCCAGAGCTGTCGTGATGAGGAAAGGGAGCAAATGGTGAACGACCTCTTCTGTGACTTCCCGGCCCTGCTTAAGATCAGACATCGGTTTCTAGAAGATAGGTAGGCAGGTGTGGCAGCCAGGGCGATAAACCCAAACACACTTAGACCCTAGAAAATATCGTGCTCCCGAACCTCTTAGCCATATCCATAAAAAGACCAAAAGATGCGTTCATGTTCATTCAGGCCCCAGACCTAAATATGTGAGGATTCGCAGAAGACCAGAGGCAGACGGAAGTCTGTGGCCTATGTGAGTCAGGGATCTATTCGTGACTACCACGCCTACCTAAGCTTACATAACTTACCTAGAGTTGCTTAAATTTTGCGTAAAATAAGTTAAACAGATGAACAAATAATGTTTGTGCAAATATGTAGATGAAACACATTGGCTATAGTGCTAGTTTCTCAGAAAAGTCCACATGCAACTCTTATATTTACAAGTACAGTGATGTGTGTACATTTTTTAGCGTGTTTATTTCCTTGAAATTGTAATTTTTCTCTTATACCTGAGTGCCCCTGACAACATAGCACGCCATGGACTGGACTGCAATACTTCTCAATTCTGTCCAATAAATATTTGATTTTATGGCGGTGGTAAGTACAGGAGGAAGAGGGGCGCACTCACCTGATCTGTATGGCTGCTGGCACATGACGTTGCAATTCACCTTTAATTTGCCGTCTGCTCGCCTTTATTTGTACATACGAGTATGTACTTGTACATGTACACACAATGGCCTTTGACCAATAAATGCTTCGATTAAATTTGCCACAAATTTGGCAAAAGTGGATTTGTAAATTTGCGGGCCAAGCCAGTTTTCCGGGACAGGGAAATGCTACCACGCAATGAATAAATAACACGCACACACACACAGTGGGCATCTAAATGATGAGAAGAGGACGGGTAATAGACACGATACAAAATGAGGCACGACAGGGAGAATTGTGAGGCAGGCGAGAAATCAATAGCAACAAACACACAATTGTAGAAGCAGAAGCAGAAGCACCAGTCGAAGCGGCACCATCAAAATGATGCCAACTGAACAATCTAATATCAAATTGAAATTGAAACGACATAAGACAAACAGCAAACAAGAAAGCAACTGCAAACAACAACTGGGCTAACAAAGCTGTAAAGCCCGATGCCGAAGTCAAGCCAAGATAAGAACGCGTCAACTCAGACGCGCAGCGTGTTGGGATAGATGCGTTTGATTTCGATTTAAAAGTAGGTATTTTTTCTGGCCGAATGGCTTTGAATTGGGTTTTATTTAGAATGGAATGGGGTAAAGGCTGGGTCTTGTGATGGGTGCGATTGGTTTTGGGCCACACAAAGGAAATTTGGGAAGGCATACACGATAATGGCAAAATAATACAATCAATAATAGATATTTTCGGCATGTGGAATCGAGACAGTACAGATTATATATAATGAATTCAGAGAACAGCTAAAACCACCCCACAGAAGTGTCAATAAAATTTTTATTCATATAAAATGGACACACATAACTTTTATTATTCGCAATCGGTTACTTTGCTATCGTCGATCTATAAACTTTGCACTATGTCCGGTGTGACTAAATTTATTTAAGCGTTATTTTTTGGTCCTTCCGCTTATATATACACGACTGCATGGTTGCATGCAACATTTAAGAAAGTTGATCTGTAATATCTAATCGAAATCGTTATAAATAATATCAATTACTTGCTCTACATTTACTCCCTATATTTAATAAATAGTCAGAAGAAGGTGTCTACGAATTAATTGCAAACAAATATAATCGTTTGCACACAAAACAGACATGATAACGTGAAACCACAATATCCAAAATATGTCAAAAATTTAGAAAACAAACCCGATCCTAAACGATTGATAAGGGAGTTTTGACAGACAGACAAACAAAAAGCGCAAAGCTAACTCATTCAAGGCTCTTGGAAAAATCGCTTCAAGTCAAATAATAGTTATTATATTACTAAGTTTTATAGATTGGATAATAGGGAAAATAACATTTTAAAACTAAATTTCTTCAAAACGAATTTGGACTGTATACATAAAAGCAAAGAATATGTGACTTTAAAATACTTGACCTTGATTCTATTTTTAATAGCGAGTACAGTATTGACAGCACAGTAATCAGATCTAGATAGTGAGATAATCCTATAGTCCCTTATGACTATCTATTGACATGGAAATACGAGTAGTGAAGTAAAACTCTATTCTGCAGGAAATGCCAAGTAAAATATTTTGGGAAATATCTCGAAAAAGGGGACAAGTTTGAGTGATAATTGCTATTTGTTTGCCACCTGCTTCCTTATTAAAAACAATGTTTTGTCAATATTTTAATATTGCGCATTTTAAATACACCTAATTCTGTTTTTACACGGTAGGTTGGTTCCAGAAAAAAATGTGTAAAAACAAGTAAAAAAGCTAAAGTCGGGTGTCCCGACTTTGAAATACTCTGTACATATGTTTACAATAATTATAGAAAATAAAAAAATTAAGAAAATAAAAAAAAAAATTTGATCGATTTTACCTCTCTCGGTATTCGAACTCACGTAAAGGGTGTATAATTGCACATTTACATAGCAATTGCGTCTGTGTGAGTGTATGTATGCCTATGCGCATCTATTCGTGTCTGTGTAAGCATTTTCGCAGTCAACCAAACAGCAACATCAACAACAGCCGCGGGCAGCGCTTGAGCAGCGCTGCATCAGCAAATATATTTATGGCTATAACTTCTTGTTAAATCGGTCTATCATAATGAAATTTGGCATACGGACACATAATAACCAACTGGGGGTATTTCCAAAATTTTAGTTCGAAATTCCAAGAATTACGGGAGTTAGAGAAAATCGCATTTGCGGGGTAGAGGGGGGAGGGAGGGGAATTCCAAAATATACATTTTCTGCGTATTTACATAAGGCATCTGGGACTAAAATTTGGTGTTCCTAAGTCTTATAGTCTTCGAGATATAGGCGATTATACGAATAGAAAATCGGGAAAACCCCCATAGGGGGGAAGTGGGGGGGAAAATCAAAAAAATAAAACAAACTCGTATAGAATACACACATAACGCATCTTTGTGCAAAATTTGGTGTCTCTATCTCTTATAGTCTCTGAGATCCAGGTGTTCATACGGACGGACAGACGGACAGACGGACAGACGGACAGACGGACAGACAGACAGACAGGGCTAGATCGACTCGTCTCGTCATGCTGATCAAGAATATATATACTTTGTGGGGTCTGCCACGCCTCCTTCTGCCTGTTACATTTTTCAGCTCCCGCAAACCTAATATACTCTTGTACATTTCATGTACAGAGTATAAAAATCATGTCAAAAAAGACATTTTCAAATGTTATTTTAAATCGTGCCAAATGGAATAAAGTCGTAAAGCCATATATCAAATTGTTAATTTTCAAACCGTGTTAAACACGTTTTAAAACCGTTTAAAAAAATACCGTGTAAAAACAGAATTAGGTGTACATTTCAATATTCCGCATACGCTGGGTTGCCTCTAAGTTGCTGAGTCCCCCTGCCCTTATAGAATGAAAATTTTTAAATGCAATATTACATTCTCCCCTATCTGAACTCCAACTTTTTTGCAGCATGGCAGCAGCTGGCGAAAACAAAGAGCAAACAACGAATAGCGGCTGCAACAGCAACAACAACGGCTAAACAAAATGTGCGAAATAAAACACGCAAGTGTGACAACAACGAGAATTGGTAAAGCAGCAGCTCTACAAACATAGGAAACAGCAGCCACCAACCCCTGTCCGATTCCAGTGAGAAACTTTGGAACAAAAACAAGGCAAAGGAAACGGAAGTGGCCAGGACATAAACCGCGTGAAAACAGACAAACCACCAAACGGACAGGAAGACAGCCAGGCGGTTGGACAGAGGGCAAGCGGAAAGACAGTCAGACACTGTCACATACCACTCACCCATTAACATGTGCGCAGCCCTAATGGATATGAGCCAGACGTTGGACGCCAACCTGGCATATGCTCCGCTGGATGCATACGAGGTGAGCGGCGATGTTGTGGCCGCCACGCTTAACGCCAGCGCCATCACTATCGGCATCTCCGGCCAGACCAGTAATGGCAGCCAATATGACGGCACACAAAGTGGCCACAACGGCAGCATCGCTGATGACGCGATAGGACATTATGTGCCGGTTGACCAGAGGCCGGAGACTTTTATTGTGTGCGTGATTTTCGCGCTCATCTTCATTGTGGGCGTACTCGGAAACGGCACTCTGGTCATTATATTCTTCAGACATCGCTCCATGCGCAACATTCCAAATACGTAAGTGGGTGTTTTGTATTGATTCGCTGGTCACAGTGGCTCTCTTGCCTCGGCTTCCAGCAGAGCACTTAAATGTATGCTATGATTATTTATTGCCAACACTCACGCATATTTACAGCAGCGAAATGAGTTCTGATCTATGTATATTTTTCTGCTGTGCCTAAAATAGCAAATAAACGACATTTGAAATTCATGGCGTGTCCACGAGTTGAAGCTGTTGATTCAAAGCAAATGTTATTAGTAAGGTAGGTTTGGGTTTAGTATTTCGAATCATTCGATAGCCGCCTGCATGCGTCGAAAAGTTAGTAAGACACGTTTTCTTTGGAGGCGCCACTATGCAAATATAGTATATTTGCTTTATAACTTAAGTCTTAAATGTTGCAAATTACAAAATAAATTGGATCAACTACAATATGTGCGCAGCACGATGAGTGGCTCCGAGACGTTTGTTTCGCATATAATCTAAATAAATTACAAATTCCAATTCAATCAAAACTTTCGCAACACGACAAAATACAATTTGTAGCCAAAAATGTGGAGTCAGCTGTTGCCAGCAGGCGCATACAGACAGAGAAACTTGTAGGGAATCAGCTGTCGATACTATACTGGCTCTGCTGTAGCAGGAGCCCTGTCCAAACTTCTAAGTCTTGCTTCGGCCATGATACATCATGCATGACCTAACAAGCATAACAAGAACCCATAGTGTCTGTCAATAAACGTACAAACACGTATGTACAAATGGAACTACTTGCTCTTTATGCAATCTTTGAATTGAAAAAGGAAAGTGTGTTTCAAGCGCTTAACAATTTACTTTATGGCGTACTAGATTACTATTAAAGTTTTAAAACAACGTCTTTGCCCTTTTGAATGTGGAATATTCGGTTATTCGATTAATTTCGAAGCCTTTCTTTTCAACTGGCCACCTCACTAAAAATCTAAAAGTATATAAAATACTTATAAAACTTTTTTAAAACTTAGTTTCAACGGTCTACAAGTATTATTTTTTAAATCGAATTTAAGAACATGTTTAAGTTTGGTATTAAATGGAAGAATATTTGACTAATAACTGACTAAATACGAAGTATATTGAAACATTATTTAGGTACAAGATCAAAATAAGAATGGGTGCTGGAGTTGTGCGATCTGGACCATTAGGAACTGTTTTAATGGGGTGACTAATTTATACATTTTACCATCAATATGGGTAATTATTTAATTCTTGATATATTTACTATACGTTTTAATCTTGACGAGCAACGATGTGAACGATGTGTTCAGTAGTTAACTAAAACTAATACCAACTTTTATTTTATTTAACATCATTTTTGAGTTTCACCTGAAAATTGTTTGAATAATAAATTACAAAATAGTACAATAATATAGAACTCTACGTAAATTTGATTTCACGACCGAATTCGAAATTCCTAAGTATTTAACTTTCCATCTGCATGTCAAATTCACAGCAAATAAATTATCCAGATCTAATTATTTCAAAATGAAATAATGAACTAATTTGTGAGTATTTTGCAGTACAGTATTTATAATTTTGTGTAGAACTTGGCACACGAGGTACAATGAAGTGGGAGGGACCTGTTTTGTTTCCTCTTCAAATAGGGAGAGACATCATTCACCATCATATTTTTTCGAACGTAGAGAAATTGGGATTGCATAGCCAAGACAATGTGCGTCATTGAATGTTGCTGCAATATACGAGTATAATGCGAGTATTGAATGAAACTTTACGCCAGTGTCCAGTCAACTATGACTAAGAATCGCTTCACTGATTTGTTACTTGCAATTTGCACAAGTTTGGCATGAACTGCCCGGTAATTGCTTTGTGATAACAAACTTTGTGCCTAATTTGGGGGCATTTGGTGACGTTTGTGTACTATATATGTGTGTGAATACCTCGGTCTAGACGCTATAGTCGCCAATTGCAATCAGGCCAACAGCATGCTGTGTAATGATGTCATGTTGGGCATCATTGAGAAAGTGGTGCGGCAGTTTCTATGAAATCTTTAAACAAGTTCATTCTTGGTCACGGTGTCAATGTCAAAGGCATTCGCACATAGGTACATATACTATATAAGTACATATATAGTATATACGCGTGAATATGGTGGAATTTTGAATTTCCAGCTATACTATGTATATTCAGCTGTCAGACCGCGCCACACTTGAGAAGCCAGAACAGCAATTCAACTCGAAGGCACAGCACACTTATACTAGTATGTGGATTTGTGTGCACAGCATTTAAAAAATAAAGGACCACACTTTAAGAATCTCTTAAATCGAGTGCTTTCCAAGTGATTTCACATGTTGGCAAAATCAACGAGCAGCAATCTCAATCGAAATCAAAATCGGAAGCTCAACCGAGGCAGCAAATTTGACGCATTTAACTTACAGTAAATTAAATTTCCTTGCCACATATATTCCAACTTCCAATCCTCCCTCAAATATTTCAGCTACATACTATCCTTGGCGCTAGCGGACTTGCTTGTTATACTAGTCTGCGTGCCCGTCGCCTCCGTAGTGTACACCCAAGAGAGTTGGACGTTTGGGCGCAATGTGTGCCGCATCAGCGAATCGTTCAAGGATATCTCGATTGGAGTCTCTGTCTTCACGCTGACGGCGTTGTCCGGCGAACGGTACTGTGCCATTGTCAATCCTTTGCGCAAGCTGCAGGTGGGTAGAAGCGATTTGTTGAGGCAGGAATCGCAGTATGTTTACACTTTAACTGATGTGACTTATAACTGTGTTGCCCCACAGACCAAGCCGTTGACCGTCTTCACAGCCGTCATGATTTGGGTCTTTGCCATACTGCTGGCCATGCCATCGTTCGTCGTATCCGACCTACAGGAGTACCCGCTGCTGGATAATGCCAGTCTCACCATTAAAGTATGTTCGCCATTTGGCAGGAATCGGACTAATTTGGAGATTTATTCGAAGTAAGTACAGATTGATGAGAGCTAAATGTTCATAAGCTAGGCACCAGGAAATCAATTTGCCACCATTCGCTTCATAAAAATTTATTTATTTTTTAACTGAGATTAAGGAATAGAAATCAGTTGAATTTTATTTGGTTAGGGAAGATTATGGCACAGTATTGTTACAACTATACAGGCTGTGCCGAATTATGATTTCCCATATTTGAAGACTATGCCTTCTATGTCAATCTTATTAGAGGTAAGTTTTTGTCTTTTACATCACCTGTCAGTCAATCCTTCGATCCGTCCATGTATTAACCAAAACTTTCAGGCTTATAAAGGATAAGAAATGGGATAAGCCTTCTTATATTGGCATTAACTAATCGTTGAGGAGATTAGAGTACAGTACAATATAATGAGGGCATGGCTATATACTATAATAGATGCACGGTTACGATACGCAATTAAATGAAATACTTCAAAAAGAAAAGTTGTTTTGTTCTCACAACACGACATCTTACGCGACATGTCCAACTGTTTCCTGACAGTGACACACACTTAGAAACTAATTTTGTGTGAATTAAGTGTCCATCGTCTCTGTCTTGAAATGTACTCAGTGTTATTAGGTTTTATTTATAATTTGCCTATATACTTACACCTCTAATAACAGGGAATGCCACTCTTAAAAACAGATTACATATAGTACTGTCTCAAATGAAAATATTCCCCGTTATTTTAAATTCCACTAGCCTTTAGACTTTGAAGTCTTTTCTGTTGTTGTTATGTTCAATGAACAAATTGAAAGCCGATTGAATTTATTCAGGTCTGCCAGCCAGACTATTTACTGGCATCTTTAATAGTCAAGATAAAAGCTCAGGCCACAAAGGCCATTTGAACATTTTTCTTCCATTCGTGTTCTGCAACTTTGCCTGCTTAGCTATTCTAGGCTTTAAAACATTCGATTGCCGAGCCAATTCAATTACAATTTTATAAATAGAAATAAAACCCACTTTATCTGTAAAATAAATATTTATGCATCTGTGACTGTTGCCATCTTGTCAAGAATCAGTTACCATGGCTAAAGTGTCTTATAGATTTGTGGGAGTGAAAAGGTAGCAACAATTGTCGGAGCAACGACTAGCGTGCTCTTCAAGTGTCACCCACTTTAATTGGCGCTTCTGCCGAGCATTGGTCACAACGATATCTCGGCTTATGTCAACCTGCAGCTCATAAAAATGGCATGCAGCTGTGCCCTTACAAGGCCGACATCCTTCTCGGAATGCTCAGGACGGAAGGCCAGGCAGAGTTTCAGTTGCTTCGTGTGTCGTTCATCGTTGGACGCCCTTATGGCCAGGCCATATGCTTGGCAACAGGATCAAGGGCAGCGACGTCGGTGCTGCTGATAAGAAACTTAAAATTTAATTTAACTTCTCTTAATGTGTCCACGGAGGGAGGACCAGAGTGAAGAACCTGGGGCTCACAACTGTCAGCTGAGGGCTGTGGCTGTGGATACATTGCGCTTCTGCCCGACGCTATGCGATGGCAGCTGTTGGCACATAATCTTCGCAATTTACACACACACGGACGGCTGAGGACCTGGCGCTCAACTGGTTGCAAATTTCGCATTTTACGCGTTAAACCTGTGCTTTTTGTTTTATTGATTCAATGATATTGCCTTCCGCACCTAGGCATCCTGTGTTTTAATGCTATTATAAAATTTGTTATGTGTATGTAAAAGTTGTGGGTCTCTGATTGGTAACCATGTAGAAGCGTCCAAGGAACAGTTTGAAGCTCTGGCTGCTGAGTCAGCGGCAATAAATTGGAAAGCGTCATTTTTGGCCTCGTAAATAATTTAATGTTAATGCATACAAGAATTTTAATAGCCTACAAAGCTGATGTTGAATTACTAAGCATGAAGCTAGGGACATAATCCGCTTACTGAAATTAGAAGGCAGTTTCCCGCAATTGGTAGCCGAAAACACTAGAAATTTGATTCGGAGATTTTGTAGAGTTCCGTTTCGTTCAATTTATGCAGATACATGGTCGTGGCCAAGGCCTCTATTTACTACCTGTTGCCACTCTCCATCATTGGGGCGCTGTACATCATGATGGCCCAGCGATTGCATATCAGCGCCAGAGATATGCCCGGCGAGCAGCTAAGTGTACAGAGTCGCACCCAAGCACGGGCCCGGCGTCATGTAGCCCGCATGGTGGTTGCATTTGTCGTGGGTAAGTGGACGGACACAAACCGTAGACACCATCCCACTAACCGGAGTGCAGTATTCTTTGCTTGCTTCTTTCCATATCATCTATTCGAGCTGTGGTTTCACTTGAACCCAACAGCAAAGGACGACTTTGATCATGTTTGGCACATCATTCGCATCGTGGGATTCTGTACAAGGTAAGCGACACAACCTTAAATTCTTTTCGCTCGCCCGCTTCATTCAATCGCCAGTCTGAAATGCTACCATTCCAATGCAGCTCCCAGTCTCTTAAGTTTTTCCGCATTATTTTTAATTGAAACAGATTATAGTCTGCAGTGGTTGCATTTCCCGCCCTCCCAGCGGAGACAACTTAAGTTTGCACCATGTGCTACGAAAATTATTACTGATGACAGCGCTTTCCGCTTCCCTTTCGAGGTAACTTTGCTTGGGAGGACACTAAAATGCAGTTAAATATGTGCCAGCAATTCGGTTACTTTTTTATTCGGATTTTTCAGCTAGCAAACTAGTTTACGACTTAAATATGCAGCGCAATACCCATTATATGTAAATTTATAAAGACAGAATAATTTTAATGTGTATTAAGAAGCTCCAGAGATGAAGATAAGCAGCCTGTTAACTTAGGGGAATCAAATATAACTGCCACGAATCAATAGCACATGATGCAAAAATAATAAGAAAATGGAATGGAGTCGAGCTGAAACCAATCAATAGGAGTAACAAAAAAAAAAGAAAAGCAAACCCCCGCCGTCAGTTTGTTGGGTCGTACTGGCGGGAACTTACTTCGTCAATTACTTTTCATAGAATTGACTGCTTTGAAATAAATTTTGAAGCCAAGTAGAGAGTACAAAATAATGCAAACTCGTATTACCTAGGGACTAGGAGACTTTGGTCAATATGACGGAGGCATGACATACATATAGGTATATATAGTATACATATATACACACATATCTGATAAGCATGTCCACCTCAGCCGAGAGTATGTAATGTTGTTAGCATTTTCGTTTTTCTTGTGAATTTGTCGCGAAAAATCGTTATATAACGATACCTTTTAAGTTTGTTTTTTGTTTAATGGCATTCATTGTTTAGTAGGCGCTAGTCTGGCAGCGGACATGCTAGTGGGCGTCAGGACAGGAATTTAGTGTAAATATCTCTGCGCAACCGTTTTAAAACTGCTCCAGAAATTACTTTAGAATTTAAAGATGCCAATAATTTGAAAATAAGCAGCTTAAATGTCAAATGGAAATTAAGGAAAAATCATTTGAGCGCCAACTCATGGTGTTGGAGAACTTTTATTGGTGGAAGGTACTATCAACTCTGCAGCCCATGTGGAAATAATAAAAATGGGTGTTTTGCCTACAATCGATGCTCTAACTGAATACGTTTCAAAAGTGATTTTTCAAGTCGATTGTGTACCATTCCACCGTTCGAAATCGGTAAGAACTGCGTGGATAATTTCTAACGTGGACCTTTTTAAAGAATTTCAACATATTTTAGGTATAAAGTCCCTTTTTAGGCCTGGAAATAGCCCAGACCTCAACCCTATTGGGAACGTTTGGTCCATTATTAAGCGAAAAATACTCCGTTATAAGCTCCGTTATTGTAAAACTGAAAGAAATCATTAAATTACTAGGTATAATGAAATTTATACGAAAGCAAACTTAATTACAGATCGTTGTAAAGGCAAGGGGAGGCCACACCCACTATTAAACAAAACACTCATTTTTATAATTAATAAAAACTGAAATAAAATGAGAGACAAGTAATAACTACACTTTAAACATTTTTTGTTTCCCCGTGAACATGTATTTTTTCTGCTTTATTTATATTTATGTCAGCTGGCTTGGGGTTATAATTATCTATTAATTAAAAATGTTCGCCTTGACTCACTGATTAAGGATATATATAAATTTTGTCCTTAATCCTTATGAAACAGACAAAATTTCAGCAACAAAGTATATATATTCTTGATCAGCATGCCGAGACGAGTCGATCTAGCCCTGTCTGTCTGTATGTCTGTCCGTCTGTCCGTATGAACACCTGGATCTCAGAGACTATAAGAGGTAGAGACACCAAACTTTGCACAAAGATGCGTTATGTGTGTACGTTGTGCAAGTTTGTTTTATTTTTTTGATTTCCAACCCACTTCCCCCCTATGGGGGTTTTCCCGATTTTCCATTCGTATTCGCCTATATCTCGAAGACTATAATACATAGGGACACCAAATTTTAGTCCCATATGCCTTATGTGAATACACAGAAAATGTGTATTTTGGAATTTCCCTTCCTCCCCCCTCTCCCCCGCAAATCACGATCTCTAACTCCCGTAATTCTTGGAATTTCAAACTAAAATCCAGTTCGTAATTAATTGTCCGTATGCCAAGTTTCATTATGATAGACCGATTTAACAAGAAGTTATAGCCATAATTATTTGCAGCGGCAGCGCTGCTCACTCGACACGAATTTAGCTTTTTTACTTGTTTTAATAACACTTATAATGATTACAGAAGTTTTCGTAGAATATACTGTCTTCGTCATAAGGTAAAATCTTTTAAAATAATAATGTTATTTGCAGAACTGAAAAATCTCTTTAGTCACTTCAACAATATATAGTTTTAACATAATATTAACATTTGAGTGAAATTTTTTAATACTATTATAATTTTTTTTTTGCAATGAATATAATGACAGCATTGCAAAATAAAATCGGCTTTCTTATGAGCGCGAGTGTATGTACGAGTATTTACATACTTATTAATGGACAAATTTGTATCCATGCTCTATTACAAAGTCAACGTTTATTTGCGATAAGCAACAATCTTTGAGAAAACGGAGACAACCCATCATGCTGCTTCTTAGAACTCTTTAAAATTATTTCCACCACAGATCAAAGACATGCGGAGAAAAACATTTTCCAAATGTTCTAAAAAAAAGATAAATGTATAGATGAAAGGAGATGTGATCTATTCGGGGGAAAGCTAGTTGGCAGGCCCCTTTGTAATTTAAAACAAATGCCAGCAATTAAATTTTTTTATTGCGTTTTCAATTTGCAGCTTCCTCAATTCCTGCGTAAATCCTGTAGCACTGTATTGTGTCTCTGGCGTGTTCCGGCAGCACTTCAATCGTTATCTCTGCTGCATTTGCGTCAAGCGACAGCCGCACATGAGGCAACATTCCACAGCCACGGGCATCATGGACACCAGTGTTATGTCCATGCGTCGCTCCACATATGTGGGCGGTGTGGGTGGCGGCAACATCTCTGGCGTTAACAGAGCCTCGCTGCACATGAACAATATTCAAGGCTCTAGTGTTGGCGGTGGGCGTGGCAGTAGCTTTCATCGTCAGGGCTCGATGCCGCTGCAGCATAGTGCCAGAAATATCAGCAACAACAATACAAATGGAAATGCAAACAATATGCCAATGGGTGCTGCTATAGGAGGAGGGGCAACAGCAGCTGGTGCTAGCGGGCGTGCAGCCATTCTCAGCGAGAAAAGGTGAGGCACGCTCATTGTGCAGCTGCTAGCAGAGGAGGCGGAGGACGAGCAGGAGCACCTGCAGGCCGATGAGCAGCTCTAAATTGTTGGCAAATCGATCTCAATGTGTGTGCTTGTGCTATACGCAGTCATGCATTCACCATTCCACCCATTCACCAATTCACCAATTCACCCATTTACCCATTTACAGTCACTGACCACCATTTTTGATTGTATGCATTTTAATTGAGTGTAATTGTTGTCTTCGGTCCTGAACTAATTTTAAAGCACTCGTCCTGTCCACCTTTTGCGTCTGTCCAGTTCGCACACTACTATATACCTGTTTTGTGCATAGTTTAGGCGCTGCCTCAGACTCACCTTCGAACCAATTTATTGGCAATTGCGGGGCCTAAATAAATATTAGGCTTTTTCATATTCTTGTACAATAAATACCTGCTTGCACAGTTCAACAGTACTTATGTTCGCTCATACTATATACATAATTATTTGTTTTAAACAAACGTACTCTCTATGTGATTTGTTAATTAAGCACTAGACGTAGATGCTAAGCGCATTAAATGTAAATGTATCGGTATCTGTATCTGATTACTGCATAAATATTGACTACCACGTTCACGTAGGTATGTACATACACATAAAGTACAAGTATGTATGTACATATGTATACATATGTGCATGTTCAATAAATAGGCATTTTAAGTACCTATAATTCCTGGCAACTTAATAGCAAACATTAATATATACATATATCAATATAGGCTTAATTAATGTAACTTTTCAGTCGAAAAAGCTATCCACATATGTAAATAAAAGAACAAAAACAAAAAAAGATGCATGTTGTATTTGTTGTTGTTACTTTTCAGCTCGCAATTGTATAAAATTCAATAAAACCAAAATAATAAATAAAATGATTAAAATATGTAGAAAATAACCACCAACTAATTCGTTTAAGAAATTCTATTTATTGAGCCCACGAATACGGCGAAAACGATAGTTGTACGGCTTACAGCGAATAACAGTATAAAATAAATATATTAGTCCCTTTATATCAGCTTTATCTCAATCGCAGAAAGGGTATATCGGGTTTGTGTAGAGGGAGACTCGGAATGACGAGAGAAATCGGTCCAGTCATGTTCGCCCGTCTGTCTGGATGAACGCATGGATTTCGGAAGTGTCTGCAGAGTACTGTAACATTAAATCTTGTTTGATTTTAATTGAACCCAACGCAACAACCTTCCTTATTGAGTTCTTATCCACTCAGCAAGGGAATGCTGTTTACTATTTTGGGATTTTATCCTTGTATCTGTAAATAATATAATTTTATATCATTTATTATTATATTTTTATAGCCAGTACCCAAAGCTTTAGGTACCCCTTTGAACTTTGTGTACAGGGTATAACAATGTATTAAAGGCGTCCTTTATGTCCATATATGATAAGCCGAGTCTAATCGATAAAGATGTAAGCACACCAAACCAGCAAAGGATACAAGGACTTGACTTACCCAGAGGTAGTGTGAAAGAATTGTTTGGTGCAAAAATCACTTTTACTTGTTTGTTTTTAAGGATGTCTGGTATTTGGTCATTTTTAGGTTACTCAAACAGTAGAAATTCTCACTCGCGCGACTTTAACATTTTACTCGTGTTCTATAACTCGATAAATTTATAATTGTAATTATTAATAAATCTGTATATGTATGTGAACGTACGTCTATATATACTGATAAAACGTGATAAGCTTTGTAATAATAATCATGCAAAAAATGCGATTTGCGTTCTGTTTCAATTAAAATGAAATCCTTTATTTACAGCTTCAGCTTAATCAATCGGCATGAGAATGCGCGCACACGATATTAAGGACCATTTAAAGACAGAAACACTGTTGAAGTGCATATCATGCTAATAACGTCAAAATATTTACAAGTAAAATAAATCCCTACCACACTTTTCATGTACAATAAAAATTTTAAAATAAAAAAAATATATCGCACAGGACACATTAATTGCCATTCGACTTTTTCCCTATGATTATGATCTATTAAAATCAAGGTAAGCTTGCATAACTCACGAGTTACTATTGGACAACAACAATTAATGGAATCTGTTTTCAGATTTTTGTGTAGATTAGTTTGTAAATTTCACTCTTGCACTACTCGCATTGAGAATAGTTGCTAATTTACCGCCGTAAGGCTACCAATATACGAATAAATATATACAAATACTAGCAGGTCTTGCCCGTTTTTGCTGGGCTCAGTATGTGTGCTTACAATTATAAGTTTATTTACTATATGAAAAGACATACTTTTCCGGCAGAAACTTTAGAGCAAATTACATTGGTACGATTGGAGAGCTAGGTCATAAAGTACAATAAATACCATGTATGGTAAGGGTTATAATTAGTTCAAGTCATTTCTAGAATTAAAAGCTGAACAATTTGGCAAAGTTATTTGGTCAACTTTTGCAACTGCACAACATTTAAATGAGCATACAAACATATCTATGAATGTTCATTATCATAATTATTTCTTCTAGTTTTAAATGAAAAGTTACGAAAATTCAGTTTACCTTGTACTCTTTCTCAGAGTATATTAACCAAGTTTAAACTTAATCAGATTTCTAATTTTCTAAAACCACTTCTTATTGCTCACCCACACTTTGACAGAAAACTTGTGTGCAAATTTCAGCGTTCTAGCTTTCTCTTGCCGTTTGGGCTGTGGGCTGTTAACGCGGTATCTTTTGTTTCCCAACATTTTTTTCAAGAAAACTCACATACTTCAGTTCCTAAAAAAAAACCTTAAAAACCCAATTATACTGTTTTTCTTGTGATTTTTCTGAGAGAATGCTAACTAAGTTTAAATTCGATAGGTTGAAAAATGCGGACTTTTCATACAAACTTTGGATACTCAAGGATACTTGAGTCCAAATTTCAGCTTCAGCTTTGGTGTGTTGATCACCAATACTTGTATATATAAAACAGTTTGTCCTAACTGACCGATTAAATTATATAGCTTATTTAGAAAAATACAATTATAGAAATTAAGTGGTCTTGTTTTAGTTGCAATGATTAATATGCAAGGTTTGATTTCCTTGTTTCTTCCTTGTTTCCGCTGTTGTTCAAAAGTTGTAACAAATTAATAGACCTAATTGGCAAATCTTATTTCTGACAAGACGAAATTGAATTATTTACGAATATTATCATTTATATGTAGTCACTGGCATCTAATATGATTAATGATAATTAGTGTGTGTGACACTTTTGTCTGGAAACATTATTCAAATAAGCAAACCGAATTAAAATGAAAGCCACCTCATTGCAAGGATCTCTTCTCCATTTAGAAGATCCAGTTCGTGCCCAATCAACACAAGAGAATCAAATAAGAAGACTGTTGCTTGCCACCAAAAGGAGGAGGGTAATATGCTCGTGTTGTAAATACCTCAAACTACGAACAATTTACATATTTAGTCAAAGCCAGAAGACAACGAAAGACACACACTCCCACACATATGTACAAGTAAGAGTTCAAACATGTGGGAACCACAACACAAAATTTCATTATGTGGCTTGTCAAAGTATAAAAGGCAGCGGCAGCTTACGGCATCCGCACGATATGGCGAGACAAGCACAAGTATGTAAATTGGTTTAACACGCAGCGTAGCAAAAATGAGTAGGAGATAAAAGTTATTGGCATGTAATAAATGTTTGAAGTCAAAATTGGTAATCTTGACCAAACGCCCAGGTCACTGGAATGACTAGTCAGCCATGGCCAGGTTTGTTTCCGGCCCGACGCCCCGCTACAGTAAATCACGGCCGAAATGGCATATCGATTCCGGATATGAACACTCTGCCACATGTCTCTGTAGCTGTAGCTGTCGCAGACGCAATCCGACACAATGCCGGAGACCATAAAGCATTTAGGTACGAGTATTGGGGCTATCCAATCCGGGCCCGGATACATCGGCATTCAACTAGTTTGAACACTGTTCAACACCATAACCAAATGTTGTTTGTGCTGACTGCAGCATGCTACCAAACACAGGTCAAAGGGCACGAAATTTATGTAGCACCTGGCCTACTCGTTTATGTAAATTCGTGCACCCAGAAAAAAAGGCCTTTGCCTTGCTACGCATTTTCAGCTTTCCTTTTCCATCCAACATTCTACCGACACCACCATTTAAATCTTACTTCTACTTTCACTTCCCACAGCTACACATCGCACTCTAAACAATATACAAGAGGTCTTTATACATACTATATACTAAACGGTTGTCTTCAAAAAAATATATTTGATTTGGGCGACTCCTAAGCAAGTCCAAATAAAGGTTTCTCTTCATAGCCAAATGGATTTTTTTCGAAAATGTAAAAATCGCGTGGTTCCAAATCTGAATACGGGAAGGGTCAAAATGAGATATTTTGTCAAAAAATCGGTCACAAGAGTCGACGGATGAGCCCAATTTTTGGTTATCAGTCAACTTGTGCGGGACAAAGCAAGAACCAAACAGAAGAATTGTTCGATTAAAATTTGATATATATTGACATACTTAACCCCATTTTTATTAATTTCACCTTAAATTTTGGACAAAATGGATGCAATTTTTGGACTGCATCTTCGATATTGGATGGTCATCATGTTTGTCAAAATCCAAGTCTTCACGACCATTCTTGAATCGCATTGTATAAAAGATTTATCCAGTTTAAATCGATTAAAGAACCGCCCCTGATCTTGTTGACGGAAAAACAAAACGTTATTACTCTAATTTTCTTTCTTGTTCTCCATATAATTGTCGCTTACATATATGTATGACAATGTATTTGTATTAAACATACAAATGGCAACAAAGATTTCCCAATTAGTTTACATTTTATAAACTTTAACTTTTGCTTAAAGCGGTTAGAACTTTGATCTGCATCGCGAATTAATAATTTAGGTTAACTTCTTGATTTACATTTTGGAGCAAAATATATTTCTCTTACTTTATAAGCCATATACTGTATTTTAAAATAATA